TGAAAAAAGTGTTATGGGAGTTACCGAAGTGGTATATTTGGGACATAAGATAAATGGAATAGAGGTAAAACCATTGGATAAAAATTTGATAAGTATTGCAAATATGAGAAAGCCGATGAATAAGGCGGAGATTCAATCATTTATGGGAATGGTAAATTATTACCATAGATTTATTGAAGATTTTGCAAGGGTAGCAGCTCCCTTATATGAGTTATTACGGAAAAATGTATCTTTTGAGTGGAAAGATGAACAAGAATTATCGTTTGAATGGTTAAAATTACAAATTAGCAAGGAGCCTATTTTAGTGTGTTTTAACAGTGAATTGGAGGTTATTTTGGCGGTAGATGCATCGAATAAAGGTGTTGGAGGAGCTTTATTGCATTTGATAGAGGGTATAGAGAGACCGGTAATATTTTTTTCGAGGGTGTTCAGAGACGTAGAAACAAGATATTCGGTGATAGAACAAGAGGCTTTGGCAGTTATTTTTGGATTGACAAAATGCAGGGAATATTTGATAGGGAGGAAATTTGTAGTGTACACAGATCATAAACCCTTAATACATCTTTTCAAAAAAGATAATAAGGAGTTAATGATGTCGCCTCGGTTGCAAAGGTGGTTACTGCTGGTAGAAAGTTTTGTGAAGTATTGGCAGGAAAAAAAGAATATTTTGCCGGACATTATGTCTAGATTAGAAATCATTGATGAGAAACAAGAGGGGAAAATTGATGAAGAAAATGGAGAGGAAGCTCTTATCAGGATATTAACTAAAGTGTTAAAGGGTAGTCCCACCAAATGGGAGGATATTCAGAGATATACTATGAAGGATAAAGAATTGAATTTGGTAAAATTGTGGATTACTGGGAAAAAACGATGGAGTGATCAGGGAAAGAAATTTAAAAATGTGGAAGCGGAATTAACTATAGTAGATAAATGTATTATGAGAGGAAATAGAGCGGTTATTCCTCTTAATTTAAGAGGAAAAATTTTAGATGTTTTACATGCGGGTCATCAAGGAATTACGAAAATGAAACAATGGGGACGGGAATACATATGGTGGCCCGGGATGAATGAAGAAATTGATAAATTAGGGGAAAATTGTGAGGTTTGTAATGCCTGTGCCAATATGCCCCCTAGAGATAAAAATAGTAGTTGGCCGAGAACTAAAGAACCTTGGGAAAGAATTCATTTGTTTTTCGAGTGGGAAGGGAAAAAATTTGTTTTAATGGTTGATTCGTTTTCGAAGTGGATAGAATTCGTGGAGGTACATGGATTAACCACGGGAATTGTAATAAAATTTTGTAAAAAAATATTTTCGAGATTTGGAATACCGAAAGTTATGGTATCGGATGGAGGTCCAGCATTTGTTAGTATGGGTAAAAATTTTTGTATCAAATTAAATGTAAATCATATAGTTACACCACCGTACCATCCTAGTTCGAATGGATGTATCAAATTAAATGTAAATCATATAGTTACACCACCGTACCATCCTAGTTCGAATGGACAGGCGGAAAGGATGGTGGCGATTGTTAAAAGTTGGTTAATGAAAACTAAAGATAACCGAAGTGAAATATGGGTATTGCAGTTGTATTATAATAATGCTAAAGGCAAAGATGGTAAATCGCCTGCGGAAAAATTGTTAGGTCGAAAAATAAATATGTTTTTGGATATGTTGAAACCTGGAGAAATTGTGGAGGTACAGGAGAAGGAAAAACAGGTGAAGTATATAGTGAATCAATTGGTTTGGGTTAGAATGTATGGAAAAGGGAAAAAATGGGAAAAAGGAGTGGTGAAAGAGAATTTGGGGAATAAATTATGTTCAGTAGTAATGGAAAATAAAAGTGTAGAAATGAGACATGGTGATCAATTAAAAAAAAGGGGGAAATAAGTGGAATAGAATAAAAAATATATATATAGAATTTAGAAATATAGAATAGAATAAAAGGTTATATTTAATTTAAATATTTTAAACCATTTTAATTATTAAATTAATTGGGACAGGAATATCTGAGTCGATTTCGATTATTAAAATATTTGTTTGGGTCATTTCGAGTTATGATTATTAAAATATTTGTTCGGGTCATTTCGAATTGTGATTATTAAAATATTTGTTCGGTTCGAGTTATGATTATTAAAATATTTGTTTAAGGATCATAAAAAAAAAACTGAGATATAGTTTGGTATATATGTATATATATAATTGAATAGTTAGAAGTATGTAAAGGTAAAAGTAAGAATTGTCTTAGTATATGAGATAATATAACTGAATATGTTGATAATTCGTTTGGTTTAACAAAAATGTATATTGTAAGTCATTTTTTTGGTTTTATTAAATATTTGTTATTAAGTGAAGTGAAGCATATCGTGGTTAATAGTTTTTTTTTCTTGTGTTAAAAAAAAACAGTTGAGAGATAAAAGGAAAAGTTGAAAAGGGAAATTATTTTATAGTAATGTAGATTGTGTTAACTTTTTAAATTGATAGAATGTTAAGATAAGAAATCAATTTATTTGGTGAAGAATCGATAAAGAAAAAAATAAATTAAACAACTTATGGATTATTATTGAAAAAATGAAATTTATGCAGCAAGAGGTTGATTTAATGAAGTTTGGAAAATATATGTTTTGAAATAAATAATGAGGGTGGTGAGTGGATTAAAAAATGTTATTTGTTTATTAAATTAATTGTTTATTGTGAAAATAATAATTAAATATAAGTTGGAATAAAAATAAAAGTTAATAAGGGAGTTTGTTAGTAAAATTGAAAAATGGTAAAGTACATTTTTAAAAAAAAAAGAAGTTCGCGAGTCGATTAAAAAGGTATGTTTGTGAAAAATTGAAATGGTAAAATATATTAATTATTTTAAATTAATAATAAAAATAAATGAAAATTGAAGGATAGATTATTTTGTTTCAAGGAAAAATATAATCGTTGATTATGACTGAGGAAAATTCTATTTACAATGATTTTGAGAATATTACACCAATGATTCAGAATAAGCGATAATAAGACCAACTATCAAACTATCCACAATGACGCGATAATCAACTTTCAAGTTCGGATGCAGCCAATCATTTAACTACCAACTTAGTGATCGATAATACGATAACTTTAGATGATGCAAAGCAAATGATCCATTATGCTATGATGTACTAACGAAATTGCTAAAGACCGATAACTCGACGATGAAAAAATGATGAACAATACGACCGATCAATTAATGGTGTCAACAACAATATGAAAATTGACATATTACAAAGAATAATAGTTTTTTTTTAAAAAAATTTTGAATTCGTGTCCTGAGAATGCCTCTTAAAAATAAGGGAGGTGTTCTAGGCATATGTTTATTTTTTTATTATTATTAAAATATTATTGATTTTTTTAATGTATAAAATATATTATTGATTTTTTTAATGTATAAAATATATTATTGATTTTTTTTATTGGTTTTAAAAAAGAAAATAAAAGTTTGAATTTTGGAAAATAAAAGAGTATCACAAAAGTTACCTAACCGAAACTCAAGTTGTTCCAGGTTCAAAATTTCACATCTTCCTTATAACTAATTAAGCTTTGATTCCGCCGCTGTCTGAAATTAGGATCAATTAAGACTATATATTGGCATAGGTTTTGTTATTTGATCCTCAAGTCGTTTCGTCAACTTCTCGGACCTCGATATAAAATTATATAATTTCTTCCATTGATTACAATAAAGATTAACAATAATACTAAATATTTTACTTTAAAAAAGATGGTTTTTTTAATTTGACTTGTACTTGTTGATATATCCCAATTATCACAAAAGAAAATTTTGAAGTTGGGACATTCATAAAGTTATTTACTTGATATATTGTCAGTTTTGGACATTCTTTTGTACTAACCCTTAATAAAATAAATATTTTAAAGTGATTTAATTGCTAAATGGATTTAACCAAATTTTTTTTCTAATGGTAATATTAAAATAAAATTATTAAGGATTAAACACAAAATATTAAATATAATGAAGGTTATGTGGAATATGTTGCTAATTTTTGTTTATATTTTACCTGAATTCACAGATATTGGCTATCAAAGATGTGATTAATACCTTAACTCTGATTTACAGATATTAATTAACCTAATTCTAGTTTGATATTTTAAAGGAATAATTTGTTTTATCTAATTTTAAATATAAAATTATTATAGTAAATAAGTATATAAATATAGTAATATAATTTTCATATAAATTGACTGTTCATATAGAATGTTTAAATAAAAATTCAGTTTTTCAGATTATAACGATAAAAAAAATTATAATGAACAAACGAACATTTACATTCGTAAAATTATTTTTATAAAAATGAACATGACGTTTCTGGAGTGCTTAGAAATATGAAAATGATAAAAAAAAATAGTGCACACTTGGCATGCATTATCGTTCTCAGATATACGAGGGGTCAACAAAATATAAAATAATTACCCTCAAAAACGATAATTATAAAAAAGAGATGATGACTGGAAATCTTTATAATTCTGTATTAAATACAAAAAAACTTCATGGAAAAAAAGACTCACAGAAGTTTACAGGGGTAAAATTATATAGAAAAAAATTACTAAATCTCTAAGGTAAAGAAAACAAATAGTAATGACTTTGATTCAATGGATTTTATTTAGAAAACATTAAATAACAAAGGAATTATTCCTATATTTTATGAGCAACATTTTTTGAATGATACTTACTAGAGAAATGTGCTGAGAAAGCTCAGGAAATTTTTTTGACCGCAGTTGATTACATGCGGGTCCTTCTTCCTAAAATAATTTTTTTTTTGAACGCTAAGAAATATGGGTATCAACTTTAAACGTAGGAAAAAACTTTAATCGTAAGAAAAAGGTTAAGGCTAAGAGATCAGAATCAAAAAGGTTAGTGGTAAGGTAATCAATGATTGTGTTAATATATTGTTTATGGTCGTTATTTAGTAATGTACTTCTTTTCTTAGATCATTATAATATTACATTGTTACTTATAATTTTAAATGATAATGCGAGCTTCGAATTATTCAAATTCTGTTAATATAAATAACAACCTGAAATTATCCAAACAATTAAAAAATAATGATTTTATTAAGTCTGTACAACGAAGAGCATTAGGTGATATAAGCAACATCGGCTTATCACATATACAACAAAAACCCACCAATGAATCTAAACATATTTTTAATAACGATGAAAATTTGAAATTTAAAAATTATAAACATTCATCAAATCAAAAATTAGATCCAGAAGTATATTTTATATAAAATAATTAAACACTTGGTAATTGAAGGATGATGATAGTGCTGATGATATTGAAAATTTTCCTAATAATGAAATATGTTTAATTAATAAATAGTATTTTTAATACAACTATTTTAGATGATGATTATGAAGACATATTACCACATAATGAGAAACCTAGTAATTTTGATTTTAAGCTAGAATTTGATATTATTGACTATTTTGATGGATCTTATATGCTTGATTATAATGATGATATAATTGATGAATTTTTAACCCAGGAAATACCTATATATTCATTGCCACTTACGCAACTTGAAGGTTTTTATTATAATTGAGAAAATAACTAAATATTTAACTAGAACTTTCTTTAGTTCCCATTCCTGAAGAAACAGATTTATCATCATAATATTTAATACTATAGTACCCATTTTTCTGTATATATTATATAATTATGATTTTTTTAAATTTAAATATTAAAAGTTTTTTAAAGATGCCATAATTACAAATAAAATAAATATCATCCTTGCTATAAAAGTCTCATTGAGTATTTTCTTCATTTGGAGTGGTTCATATCAAAATCATCTGGCAATTGAAAAGATAGGAAGAGTAGTCTTCAAACAATTTTTCAATTATGAGAACATACATATTAATTCTGATTTTTAAAATATTTGAAGTTAGTGTACCACTTATAGCCAGGGTTGCCAAGTCAAAATTTTCTCATTGCAGAAGAAATTTTTTTGTTGGCTAGGTGAGGACTATGTTGACCTCAATTTGAGCTGATTTTTAAAAACAGCTAACTCAATTGCCAGAAAAATATTGCATAAGCCTCAAGATTTTGTTAATAGATGTTCAAACCTTTTAGCCACCTATGAGGAATGTTCTGATATTTAGCCATTTACAACACAAGAGCTTATTTGACATTTTATATTAAATTATTTATAATATATTACAAAATCAGTCTCATTAATTGGTTTATTTTTCAAATAAAGAAAAAATAAACTCATGTTTTGTGTTATTGTTTAAAACATATTTATCATTATAATTTAAAAACTAACTTCTAATAGAAAGGAGGGTTCTGAAATTTCTTCATTGATGATACAAGTATATTTATTAATAATTTCCATTTATAAAATAAGAAATTAATATTTATAATTTAACATTGTGAAAATGCAAAATTTTTAATGCAGTAGTCTAAAAAATATGGAGGAATTTTAGAGTTCTATGTTTGATTTGGAAATAACGGAGTCTAATACTGATGGGGGAGACCTAACAGCCCTGCTTTTATATGTAAATAATTTATTTTGAAGTTTTAGTCATACATTCTTATAAATTCATAATACTAAATCATTAAAACAAAAATGGATTCATATTAAGTATCATGAGGTGATGTTGAAAATGTAAATGCTAGTTAAAAAATATGAAGGTAATTTATCAAAAAAAGAAATAATTATACATGTAAATTACCTGAAATCTAGAAAGTATTAAAAAATACTTCAAATTTTTACAATATTTAAAAAATATGTAATAGTGATATTATAATATTTTATTTAATAATATGAAATGTGTTTCCAAAGGAAACTCATCTTCATAAGAACCTGAGGGGATGGGGTTTATTCTTCACAATTAACCTGTTAATTTTAGCATGTTAATATTTTCTAGATCAAATTTACCTGAGAAATCCATTTTTATTTTTTGAATGATAAGTGTAATTTTGCCAGGATCTTCCTAACATGGAGAGGAGGTAGGGGGTTATGGTGCAGTTTTGCTGGAAGTTTACTCATAGGCATGCTAGAATCAGTGTTTCCAGATGTTTAGCTAACTTTAACAGGCGATAAAAAGAGATTTAATATGTTAATATAAATACTTAATCATAATTTTCATAGGAGGAACCTGGCTGAAGGCCAAACAATGGGAGGGGAAGGGGGTTGTTATAAAGGTGGAAATTTGTGGATTGGCACAACCCTAGTTTAACAGGGACCCACTTATAATCTATCTCAAGTCAAAATTTCCAAAGAATTTCCAAGAACTTGTTTTAATGAAAAGAATAAAATAGGTAATATTTTACATAATTTTAAATTTACCTATTATCTTAAGCATTAATAAAATAATTTTTCAAAAATTTAGAGCATTTTTTATTTTATTTATAAGAGAAGGGTAATTATGATTGCAAAAACCCAAAGATCTTGAATAAAAACATTTTTAAAAAAATTGAAATAGCAAAAAAATCTTATGATAAATATTGATTTTTTTCTTTATTTTTTGTCAAGAATATTATTATCGATTTTCGGAAATTTTTTTTATTTATTTTTGTTTAAGCAAAATATCAATTTTTATATTTTATTTTGTTAATGAATATTATTTTTCAATTTATCGATTTTAATTAATATTTTTTTTCTAAGAATTATCATGATCGAATTTTGTATTTTTTTATGGTAAAGAAAAATTATTTTATAGAAGTAAATATATAGATGATATTTAACAATGGCGACGACTAAAAGAACCCGGGAAAACTGACAATTGAAAAAAAAAATTCGATATAAAATTATCTAAAATAAGCATCGATTCCTATTAAGGAAAACAGTGATTCATTCATAACATTTCATATCAAATTAAAGGCATACTTCATATTAAACGATATATATAACAATGAAAAAAAAACTGTTCATATCGACATTATCAACGTATGACTTAAATGAAGTTATTTTATTCGCTCCTAAGTCCATTAATAAAGTATGACGATATGCTAGATTCTTTAATAACCAACGAGGAAAAAATAGCACTGTTGGAAAGTTTCCAATTCGTTAAACGTACTCAAAGAGATGGAGAATCCAATCTAGAATTTTTAAATTCACAAATGGCGTCAGCGCTAAAATGTAATTTTGAAGAAAATTTAAATATGCAGATAATTAACGGATTAGAAAGCAAAGAGATCAAAGCAAATTTATTACCAGAATAAATATGGGAATAGAGGAAATTTAAAAACCCTTCGAACCATGGACTTGATAGGTGAAAAGCAAAAGGTAAATTTTATTGTCAAGCCGGAAAGGAACGAGATGAAGACAAAATAGAAAATGATGAATTTAACTATATACAAGACAATAAAAAGCATAATAGTAATAATAATTGCAAAGTTCAGGAACGCTATGGTTACAATTATCCCCACCAAACGAGATTAGATAACAGATTTACTAGATTTTATAATTATGACAACTCGAATTATGGAAGACGTAATAACATTAACCCGCGGTACAAATATAGTATAAAAGACAATGCGACCCCAAATTTTGCAACCCTAGGAAAATTTCATATACTTTAAAAGAAAGATCGATGATAAACTACTAAAATGGATTAAAGACATAATAGAACCTATAAAATTTTCGAAATGGGTCAGTTCTCTGGTAACAATAGTTCAATGGGAATATCAGGCTTTGCATAGACTAAGAATAACGATAAATCCATGAATGACACCGTACATATACCCTATTTCCAGAATACAGGAAATACTAAATAATTTAAGAAAAGGCGAAAAGTTTTCAATTATTGACTTTTCAAATACCATAAAATATAGATTCTAATTCAAAGAAGTATTTAGCTATTAACAAAAGGACTATTCCAATTTAAAAAGATGCCATTTGGAATAACTCTGGCGTCAGCGATATTCAAAAGGATCATGGACCTAATTTTGGGAAAATGACGAGAGTGGCATATTATATTGATGATCTATTAATTACAGGTTCTTCGGGTGAAGAGCATCTAATAATTCTAGAAGTATTTTAACGAATGTCGAAGTTCGGTCTTAAAGCAAATTTCTTAAAGGAAAAGTAAAATACCTAGGACATGTCATATTCACCAAAGGTTTTATGCCCTTAGACGAGAAACTAGAAACGATAAAACATGCTCCACTTCCTGAGTCAGTCAACGAATTGCAGTATTAGGACTTATAAATTAGTATTACAATCGCGGCACCCCTTTATGACTTATTAAAGAAAGGAAACAACTTCCATTGGAGGAATGCGGATACTACGGATGCGTCTATGAAGAACGTAGGAGCCGTATTATCTCATACCGAGAAAGATGGATCCAAGAATCCCATAGGTTTTGCTTCGCGGACATTATAAATGGCAAAAAAACTATTCAACTTTTGAAAGAGAAGCATTAGCGCTTGTATTCGGAGTAGAAATTTTATGAATATTTAATAGGACAAACTTTTACAAATAGACCTACCACAAACCACTTATATATATATATATATATTCGGTAACAAATGTTTCGCAAATATAACGTCACTACGATTTCTCAAATGATTCTAATGTTAGGAGGGTACAATTGCGAAATAAAATACAAGGCGGGTAAGGTGAACAAAGTGGCAGAAGGACTCTCAAGATGCTCAATGGAAGACATGATCAAAGACAATAATGAAGAAGTATATTTTATAAATGAACATCTTATATTGGTAGACGAAAATAAGAAAAACTCGAAAACGACGACACGTTAAAAAGGGTAAAGGAGAATATAAAAACTCAATTCAAGTCAAAAGATGACAGTGTATTAAGACTATACAGAATGTGCAAAAATAATCCATGGAAGAAAGATGGATGTTTATACAAAGGGGAAAGGATAATAATTCTAACAGAATTGCGAAAAAAATACTAAACGAATTACATAGCGATCATCAAAGAATCGGCAGAATAAAAAGGTTAGCCAGACAATATGTATGGTGGCCTGGAATCGACCGTGGAATAGAAGAACTATGTCGTCAATGCAAATCGTGTAATACATGTGCGAACAATCCTCCAAAAATACAAGATCACCATTGGAAGAAACCGAAAGACCTTGGCAAAGAGTTCATATAGATTTCGCAACACTGCTCAAAAACACCATGTGGCTGTAGACACTTTTACGAAATAGGTGGGGGTAAATGGAATTACCACCACCACATCAAAGAGAATCATAAGGGAATTAGGCAAGATATTTTATAAATGGGGATATCCAGAATCTTTAGTATCGGACAACAGACCACAATTTACTAGCTATCAATTCAAAGAATATTTAAGGAATATCGGATAAATTATATATTAACCCCCATACCAGCCAAGCTCCACTGGAAGCGGAACGGATAGTAAAAATGGTGAAAACAGCCATGGAGAAAAATACAGCTATAAACAAGTATGATAGATTATAAAAAATTTTATTAGCCTACAGAAACACGCAGCATGCAACAAAGGGACCGACACCAGCATAGCTGATGTTTTGACGGAATGCTCGAATCCATCTGGAAATGATTAGGGAGACACAAGGAAGTGGTAGTCATATAGAACAGAGAGGTCAATCTGGACAACCAGTATGGACTAAAACACATAATGACAAGGTGGAATGAATTAAGGGAACGATCGTAGCTCGATCTGGAAAATTAATATACAGCGTAAACACCGCCAAAGGTCGATGGAAAAGACATAAGGAGCAAATCCGAAATAGATAAGACTATATCTAAGAAGTAAGATTAAATATTGAATTTTTTATTTATTTTTTTTGAATAATATATATATATCGATTTTCGGAAATTTTTTATTTATTTTTTGTTTAAGAAAAATATCGATTTTTATATTTTATTTTGTTAAAGAATATTATTTTTCAATTTATCCATTATATATTATATTAATCATTTTTTTTTCTAAGAAATATAATGATGGAA